AGAAATGTGCCTAGCACACAGGTTGTAACTCAGTGTTAAACCATCGATCTAGCAAATATAAGGTCCTGAGTTCAAACTTCAGTACTTCCAAAAAAGAAAGAAAGGAGAGGGAGGGAGGGAGGTAAAGGAAAAAAGATAGGTTGGTTCGTTCTCAGCTCACTGTTAAGTCCCATTTGCTTTAAAATGCTTTATTTTTATTAAAATAGTTGTTCATTTGTGAGATTGACAAGGCACATGACCACTCTCCTTCTACCAGAATCTAGAGGTAGAGCATTTCCTACTCTTCCCCCAGTCCCTAGCAGCCTCTGATCTGTCCTCTGCCCCGGAGTATGTCTGTGTCGCAGTCACAGTTGTAGGCTTTTCAGAGTGGGTGGAACTGCCATATCATGCTGCACTTGAATGTGCCCTGATCCCCTCAGGGCTCAGACACTGAATGTCATATGCACGTACCCTACCTTATGTAGACTTCTTCCCCTTGCAGAATGCACTCGTGGGCCAGCTCCTGCTGCATGGTAGTGTGTGGTACAGGAGCGCCCACACTGGCCCCTTCTCCAGGGGAAAGACATCAATTACACGCATTTTTTGATAACTAATGACAAAGATACGATACACAATCACGGATAAGTCTTTGTGTAGACATAAATTTCATTGGGTTTTTTTTCCCCCATACTGCCGAGTAGTATGGAAAGTGTATTTTGACTTTGACTTTTCTGCAGTGGCTGCGGTGCTGTACTCTCATAAGCAGTATATGACTAGAGTTCCATGCCTTCTACCAGAGCGTGCTATTACGGCTTTAAGTTTCAGCTATTCCAATAGTTGTGTAGTAGAATCTCATGGCTTTGATTTGTAGTTCCCTGATGCATAATGGTGCAGAGCATAATTTTTCCTGGGTTTGGTTGTCCATTTCCTGGGTGGCTGTCCAAATCTTTTCTCCATTTTTAAAAATTGGGGGAATTTTTGTGTTTGTGCTGCTGGGATCTAACTAGGACGTTGCCCACACTCTTGCCCCTTTGTTTTTCTTGCTGTTGAAAGTTCTTTGTGGTTTTGTTTTGTATTTTGAAAGTCCCTTATATATTCCTTTATGTTATCATATATGTCTCTGGGGTCATGTCTCAGTAGTTTGGGCTTTAAGGACACAGAGATTTTTTTTCCTAGTTTTCTTCTTCAAGTCTTATCATTTTGGGTTCTACCCTGAGTCAGTGGTCCATTTTTAATTCATCTTTGTGCTATGTGCGTGCCATAAGCCGAGGATTCCAGATTTTTCTACTGAAGGATCTTTGCATCATTTTCAAAACTTGGTTGTCCGTTTCTGTGCAAGTCAGTTTCTGAACTGTGTACTTCTTTGTATATTGGTGAGTTCTGCCAGTGTTTATGGCTAGTGCCTGTAGGATGAGTCAGGGTCCCCTAATTTCTGGAAGATACTGTGTAGACTAAGTGGTGTCTCTTTTGATAAATGGTAAATTCCGTAGTGAATCCTCCACCCACCAGCAGGGAACTTGTACTACATAGAAACAGTGGCCCCTGATAGTCCAAGGGGTTTGAAGAAGAAACTAAGTGATACTGAGAAACAAGGAGCCTACAGAGCGGCTCCAGTCCGAATTAAGCCCAGGGAGAGGCTGGGGGATGCGTCCTGGTGGAGGCATTGCAGTCTGGAAGGAGGGCAGGGATTGCAGTCTGGAAGGAGAGGGCAGGAGGGGCCTGGGGGTGAGGGAGTGCAATCTGGACGGGGGCCCTGGGCGATGCTCCCTGATGGGCTGTGGTCTTCACAGGTACTGTCTTTGGACACAAACATCACAAACCAGGTGAACAAGCTGAGCAGAGACTTGCTTCGCTTGGTGGACGTTGGCGAGTTCTCTGAGGAAGCGCAGTTCAGAGACCCTTGCCGCTCCTACGTGCTCCCGGAGGTGATCTGCCACAGCTGTAATTTCTGCCGAGACCTGGACCTGTGCAAAGACGCCTCCTTCTCTCAGGTTGGGCTCAGCACTTGCAAAGCCGAGGCAGGTGGGGCCGCCATGCAGCGCCTGTTGTGTTCACCCTGTGAGTTGTACCTGCTCCCTTCCCTTGGCCACTTGGCTGGCGTGATGAAGGTCAGCATGGGTGCAGCCGTAAGTGCTGATTCTCCTTTGGCCCCAGCACCCCTACTGGAAATGCTGCCAACTGTGGTGGTGTGTGGTGTGTCCACTCCACACACTGACCGGCTACCCCTCCCTGACCTCTAGGATGGAACCGTTCTTCCTCAGTGGTTCTGCTCCAACTGTCAGGCTGCCTACGACTCAGCTGCCATTGAGTCAGCTCTGGTAGAAGCTCTGCAGAGGAAGCTGATGGCCTTCACTCTGCAGGACCTTGTAAGCTCCCTCAGTGGGCCGGGGCTCGGGGGCCCAGTGCTGCAGGAAAGTGTTCTTGCCCACGTGCCCTGCCGACTCCTTCTGTCAACGCCTGTTGGCACCTGCACTGTGGGCAGAAGCAGGCTCATGGCACTTGATCCAGTAGAGAGAAGTAGACGGCACAGCGACAGTTAAGAGAGCAGCAGAAGAGTAGTGTTGCCAGCCACAAGACAGTCCTGCTGTGGACCCCTAAGCAAAAGCCTGCAGGACATGCCCAGGCGCCATTAGAGAGTGCACTACACAAGGAGATGTATTCCTCCTCAACAGCCCCAGGGCCACAGCACGGCCCTCACCGTGCTGCTCCCTCATTTCAGATCTGCCTGAAGTGTCGTGGTGTGAAGGAGACCCATATGCCTGAGTACTGCAGCTGTGCAGGGGACTTCGCCCTCACCATCCACACTCAGGTGGGTGGTTCTCTCTGTTAGAATACATGCTATTTGCTGTTCCTCTCTAGGTGGGACCAGCATCATTCCTATCTCTTTGTTCCCACAGATCTTCATGGAACAAATTGGAATCTTCCAGAACATTGCCCAGCACTATGGCATGTTATACCTCCAGGAGACCCTGGAGTGGCTACTGCAGACAGGTCCTCTGTCCAACTCTTAGCAAGCCCACGCTGAGGACATCTTGGCATCTGCATCAGGGACCCTGTGCTCCAAGTGGCTGTGTACCTGACCACCTGGCTTTCCAGACTCCAGACAATGAACAATGTAGGGAGCTCAGATGGGGCACCAACTAGCGCAGAAGTAGGGAGTGGCTCTATCAATAGACGTCTGTGAAGCACGTCCGTGAGCGGAGGGAAGAAGCGTCTAAAAGGTCTTTTCCCACAAATAAACGTGCTTTAGGCATCTGCTTTCTGTACCCTGCTAGGTGACAGAAAGTCACCTAGAATAGTCACCAGAATACCCTGGCCCCATCCCAGCTTTCTTTCCTCTCATTCAGAGCCTCAGACTGGGCCTGAGGTAAGGTAGTGGATGAGGATGGGTGCCGAAGTGGCCCTCCAGGAGCTGGAATCGCACTTGTTCTATGGAGAAATGTTTCCTCTCTGCAGCCTTGTGAGAACAGGATTTGAGTCATTTCCCAGGAAGTACAGATCCAAAATCGGGGGGGGGGGGGGGGGGGGGGATACCAGGAGACGTTTTCTTCTCATTATCTCTGGACCCATTCAGAGCAGTCACAGGGGGTGTCTTGCTTGCTCCATACGTCCACAGTAAAGCCTGGAAGTCTGGCTGGGCTGAACCTGGTAGCTGACGTAGCTACCATGAGCCCTCCTGGTCTCTGCGGGGTCCCCTTTGGTGCCCCTCAGGTCCCTGGAAATGAGACGACACGCCTCACTTTCAGCTAAATGTGGTCCTTGGCCTTCACTTCCTTACTGGCCTAGGCCAGTGTTAGCAGGACACTAGATAAATGCGTGTATCACAGATTCAGAAGACAGAGACACCATGAGCTCACTCGGAAGACCCTGCAGTAGCTTAGAATGCCAGTGTTGTCTGTACTGTGATCTTTAGTCTCTAGAAGCATCTGTGGGGAGAAATTGGACACCACTAGGACCCGCCTGCCTGGGATGTGGACTGAGCTGGGACCTCTGAGTGGAGCGCAGATCAGATCAGGCGGTGGGGAGGTGGAAGGCACTGGCTCACCAGGCTTCTTGGAAGCAGAAGCAGAGGATGGGGGAGGGGAGCCAACAAGGCTGCCCAGTGGCTCTGCACAGCCCCTGGCGTCAACAGGCCTGGGCTCACTCAGACCAGCTTAGAGGCACTGAAATAAGAAACCAGAGCCTAGCTGTGTCCAGAAATCCAACTAGAGAGACTGGTTTCTGCAAAACTAGAGCTATACCTGTGTTAAACCCAAAGAGATCAGGTGTTTGTGACCTGTGGAAGCCGGGGGGGGGGGGGGGGGGGCGGTAAGGGCTGTGAGACAGCATTTAAGCTACCTGCAAACTCCACTCACTGACAAGACCAGGAGCTCCCACTGGGCATCCTGAGACTCGGTGCGCTGGCCTGGTACACGGGATGCCTTCTGGAGTCTAGCACAGCACTGCCCAGGTGTGCTTCCGCACCTGGGCACCAAGTTCTGGGCTGCTAGCAGTCTGCCCAGGCAGCACTACCCCCCCGGCAGCCGCCAAGGACACAGCGCCCGGCTGTCCTCCAGCCCTGGCTTCAGCTGTGCCTACTCTCCATCACCAAGTCTGCCCAGTCCCCTTCGGCCTGTCTGGATGTGCACCCTGCATTATGCCCTCCTGGGGTCATAGCTTCCCCAAGAAGCAGCCAGAAGGTCTTTTGTCATGTGTTTATTGGATTCTGAGCTTTAGCTAAGGAAAAGGTCTGAGCAGCTATAAACACGGGAGGCGCGGGCGCGGGCGCGGGGGTGGGGTGGCATTCTGCTTTCACTTGAGGCCCAGGGAGCAGGAAAGGCCTGGGAAGCCTGCCTCTGCCTGTGGCCCCTGGGGAGGGGGAAGGTACTCCTGGAGGCCACAGGGCTCTCCCTCCCCTACATGGAGACACTTGGCTACTGGGGGTGTGCAGGTCCTTGTAGCTGCCGGGGCAGCTAAGGCTGTTTCTGAGCTCTACTGGGCCCAGGCAGGTCCAAGTTGGGCTTAACCTTTGGGGTTTGTGGGTGCGGGGTCCTGTTGGGGGTGCTCACAGGTGGAACATCTCTTCCGTACATGCTGGCCGAGAGTGTCCACTATCTGCTTGGATGGGACAAAGTGGGGACAGGCCTAGCTTTGCCCCTTGTCCTGAGGTTGGCCCTCCGGGCCTGGTGTACACACCTTGTCGAATTTCTTACGGCTGTAGACTTTGTTTTTGTTCATGAATGTTAGCAAGATCCAGTCACAGAGGAAGGAGCCCTAAGGCCAGCAGACACCAGTGCTTAAGAGCCTGGAAGGACCCTTACACACACACACACACGCACACGTGCACACACGCGGGCCCCTTACCACTCCAATGGAGGTCAGAGCGGTGGCCAGGTTAATGATGGTGGGAATGAGGCTGAACCTCCCTGCCTGTGGAGGACAGGCTTGCTTTTAGACCTTGGGGCATGGGCATGGGGGGCCAGGGGACCCACCCCGCAGGGAGGGACCCAGCACCTGTCCGTGCACAATGACGTCGATTCGAATCCCGTAGGCTTTGACCAACGTGCGGGTGGTGGTGCCGTTTATGTTGTAATACTTAGCAAACCTAGGGTGGAAGGGACGAGGGGCCGTGTCCAGGCTTCCCGTCCCTGGGCGCAGAGCCCGCGCTGGTCCTGCGGCCGCAGCCAGGGGCCTGCTGTCCCCTGCTGTCCCCCGGGCCCGGCCGGTACCATGAAGTTGTAGCCGGAGGAGGCGGCGGCGTGCTTGGGGTCCAGCCTCCGGAAGGAGTACTGGGGGTTGCACTGGGCCTCCGAGAGGTCCAGGTCACAGTCCCAGTTGATGAGGACGCCCAGGACGCCGCCCTGCAGGAAGGCCGGGAGGGCGGAGGGGCGCAGGTCAGAGGGTAGCGAGAGGGGAGGTGGCGTTTCACGCGGCCACGGGCCCGCCCTGGCCGGGGCCTGACCCGCTCCCGGCCCGCACACCAGCCCCCCCCCCCCCCCCCCCCCGCCCGACCCACCACCCCCCGGCCCCACCCCCCACCACCCCCGGCCCGCACCCCGTGCGCCAGCTCCGTGAAGCGGCCTGGTCTGCGATGAAGCCCAGCCTGAAGATGGGGCAGTACGGGTCGCGGTCCCGCTCGAACGTGCAGCGCTTCAGGTAGTCCCCGCGCCGGCCCGCGAGGTTGCCCCTGGGGGCGGAGGGGCGGCTGCAGCGTGCGCGCGGGACGGACACACGGACACCCCGCGCCCCGGCCCGGCCCCGGCTCACTTGGAGAAGCGCAGCCGCGGGTAGCGGACGCTGTTCTTGATGAGCACGGTGAGGTTGGGGGCCGTGGCGCCCAGAAACTGGCTGAGAGGCACAGACGGCTGAGTCCCGCCAACGCCGCGCCCGGCCCCGCACCCCACGGGGGCCGCGGCGGGGCGGGGCGGGGCGCACCTGGCCGCGGCGCCATCCTCCAGCGGGCACCAGGCCGCCACCTCGCAGGTCCGGGCCGCCCCGCGGTAGTAGGGCACGCAGCGCCCGGTGCGGAGGCCTGCGGCGGACGGGGCGGTGAGCGGGCGGACGCGCGCCGCGGGGGCTCGGCCCGGACGCCGACCGGACACCGACCGGCCGCTGACCGCTCCCCAGCGGGCCCAGCTCCCCCCCGCCGACCGCTCCCCCCCGCTGACCGCTCCCCCCCGCTGACCGCTCCCAAGCGGGCCCAGCTCTCCCCCGCTGACCGCTCCCCCCCCGCTGACCGCTCCCCAGCGGGCCCAGCTCCCCCCCGCCGACCGCTCCCCCCCCGCTGACCGCTCCCCCCCCCGCTGACCGCTCCCCAGCGGGCCCAGCTCCCCCCGCTGACCGCTCCCCCCCGCTGACCGCTCCCCCCCGCTGACCGCTCCCCCCCGCTGACCGCTCCCCCCCGCTGACCAATCCCCCCCGCTGACCGCTCCCCCCCCGCTGACCGCTCCCCAGCGGGTCCAGCTCCCCGGCCGCGCAGTCGTCGTCCGTGTGGCAGGCGGCGTTGTGCACGCGGAGGCTCTGGGGAGAGACTGCGGTCGGCGGGGCCTGCGCGGCGCCCGACCCCAATCCCCGACCCCGGTCCCGCCCCGCCTCACCTCCGGGCAGGTGCCCCGCGTCTGGAAGCTGGTGACCTCGATCCTGGTGATGATGCTGAACACGCTGCCCCCCTAGGCGCAGAGAGCGGGGCCTGGGCGCGGGGTGCGGTGGGGGGGGGGGTGGCTCCGTCCCGGGCCTGGGCGCGGGGTGCGGGGGGGGGGGGTGGCTCCTGCCTGGGCGCGGGGCGCGGGGTGCGGTGGGGGGGGTGGCTCCGTCCCGGGCCTGGGCGCGGGGTGCGGGGGGGAGGGGTGGCTTCCTGCCTGGGCGCGGGGCGCGGAGTGCGGTGGGGGGGGGGGGTGGCTCCGGCCTGGGCCTGGGCGCGGGGTGCGCGGGGGGTGGCTCCTGCCTGGGCGCGGGGGCGCGGGGTGCGGTGGGGGGGGGGGGTGGCTCCGTCCCGGGCCTGGGCGCGGGGTGCGTGGGGGGGGGGGTGGCTCCTGCCTGGGCACGCGGTGCGGGGGGGGTGGCTCCGTCCCGGGCCTGGGCGCGGGGTGCGGGGGGGGGGGGTTGGCTCCGGCCTGGGCCTGGGCGCGGGGTGCGGGGGGGGGTGACTCCGGCCTGGGCGCGGGGGCGCGGGGGGGGGGGGGTCCGGCCTGGGCCTGGGCGCGGGGTGCTGGGGGGGTGACTCCGGCCCGGGCGCGGGGCGCGGGGCGCGGGGGAGGGCTCCGCCCCAGGCCGGGCCGCACCTCGGGCGGCCTCACGAACTCCTCGACGTCCCACACGCGGCGCGCGGACGCGGTGACGCCCTTCACCTTGGTGATGACCGAGCTCTCGGGCCCGGCCTCGCGGTCCTGGTAGCTCTTCTGGACGATGAACACGTACCTGCGGGGCGGGGGCGGGCGGCGGCTCCCGAGGGCCCACGCGCAGTCCGCGCCCCGCACGCACCGGCCCCGCGCCCCGCACCGGCCCCGCGCCCCGCACCGGCCCCGCGGTCCCGCACCCCCGCACCGGCACGCGCCACACGCACCACACGAAGTAGAGCAGGATGAGCAGCTGCGCCGCGCGGTACAGCAGCCCCAGGCGCCGGCTGCGCACCACCACCACCTTGGGCGTCTCGTAGTCCCAGAAGGCCGACCAGCAGCCCCCGCAACGGCGGCCAGCGGCCCCGCGCCGCGGCCGCCCCGCCGGGGAGCTCGGGCTGCGCGGCGGCCATGGCGCCCGGTGCGGAGGTCGCGGCCGGACACCGCCCGAGGAGCCGCCCCGCCCCGGGCGTGGCCCGCCCCGCCCGCCCGCGACCGGCGGGAGCCGCGTGTGCGGGAAGAGGCAGGGGCGGGGCGGCTCCCTCCCCGCCCGCATCACCCGCGCCCCTCCTAGCCTGTCGGGTCTCCGCCCCCCTCCCCTCCCCCTCCCTCCCCCTCTCTCTTCTCTCCCCCTCCCCCTCTCTCTTCTCTCCCCCTCCCTCCCCCTCCCCTTCCCTCCCCCTCCCTCCCCCTCTCTCTTCTCTCCCCCTCCCCCTCTCTCTTCTCTCCCCCCTCCCCCTCTCTCTTCCCTCCCCCTCCCTCCCCTCTCCCCTCCCCTCCCCCTCCCTCCCCCTCTCTCTTCTCTCCCCCTCCCTCCCCCTCCCCTTCCCTCCCCCTCCCTCCCCCTCTCTCTTCTCTCCCCCTCCCCCTCTCTCTTCTCTCCCCCTCCCTCCCCCCTCCCCTTCCCTCCCCCTCCCCCTCTCTCTTCTCTCCCCCTCTCTCTTCTCCCTCTGTTCATGGGCTTGAACTCTGGGCCTGGGCGCCATCCCTCGGCTCTTCAGCTCAAGGCTAGCGCTCTACCGCTGAGCACCCTCCGGGCCCCGTGTTCCTGGCTAAAGTGGTAGAGCACCTGCTTATCATCTGCAAGGCTGGTTTTCATCCCCAGTGTAAACTCACACAAAAAGAAAAGTAGCAAGCAAGGGCCGCGTGTGTCTGTCGGAGACGCCACAGGACGGAGGCGCTCTCACACCTGCAGATCTCAAGCAGACCACAGGTGCCTTGGAGGGCGCTGCGTGCAATGGGTCAGCAGCACACTTGGCAGCCTCTGGTTGGTCCTGAGTTGGACATGGGGCAGAACCCAGGGAAGCTGCCATCCGTGGCACCGGCAATTGCTGCAGAGACTGGGAGGTGGCCGGAGCCCCCTGGGGTGTGTGTGCTGGCGTGGCTGTGCGCGCTTGGCTGTCACACAGGATGAGGCTGGATGGAAGAGAGCACAGACGGCGGCGTGGGCCGCGGGCCACCTTGTGCCCCCAGCTAACCTAAGGTCTCTCTGAGCCAGGCTGGTGTCTGCTCCGGCAGCTGCAGCAGGGCTAGTCTTATGCTCACACAGAGGAGCAGGTGGACCTGAGAGAAGGTAAGGCCACTGTGATCCCGGTGACCTGGTGTGAGGGCTGTGGGTCTTCCCCTTCTAATGGCTTGGGAAACAACCGTGCGCCCCAAGTGCTTGGTGACCTTCCCCCCTGACTTTCTGGATATAAGCATCTGAGAGGTCACCAGCAGGGGTACCAGGAGCTGAGTCCCCGTGGGTGGCACCCGATGTTGCTGCCGTGCTGATCTCGCGGGGCAGGAACGCGCAGATTCCACTCACTGAGACTGTGATGCTGTTGGCATCCCACTTTTGCTAGAAGATTGAGGTCATTTTGGATCAAGCTGAGGCTGGTGCAAAATGAAAAGAGAAGTGTGCTCTAAGGGGTCGTGGTCGTCTACAAAGGAGAGCCTTCTTGCAGGGACGTTTGGATGTGAGGGGCAGCTTGAAGGCTCTCCAAGTACAAACTCTGCCTCAGGCACTGCTGACGGCATTGGTCCATTTTCATAAAATACAGTGCACATAAAGCTGACCATTTTCACAATGTTGAGGGCACAGGGGCGTCTACCGCGGTGCAGATTGGATGACTCTAGAGACTTCAGTTAAGTGGGACTACAGGTATTTATCCACGCATCGCTGGCTTCCTCCGTGTAGCACAATGGCCTCGGAGCTCACCTGGGTTGCAGCATGCAGGGAGAATCTCCTTTCTGCTGCACCAGGTCTGTCTGCTGCATCAGTGCTGCCACAGACTTCTACCCACGTGGCCGCTGTCCCATCTTTAAGGCCACAGGCCACAAAAAACCCCTGGGGTCCACGGACAGCTCCCTCTTCACATTGGTGGGCCAGGACCTCCAGGTGGGCCGCTGTCTGGGAGCTTCTGTCCCCCGCCGTGGGTGGCGCAGCCTGGGAACAGCATCTTTCTTCCCAGCCTTTGATCTGCACTGCCTGGACTGGCTCTTCTCTCTGCAGATTCTAATAAAGATAACCTAAGTCCACAGAGGACACCGTGCACCTAGACGTGAGAACAAGAGCAGACCTGGGGGGTTCTCACCACCCCTGCGGAGTCCGAGGACAGGGCGGGGGAGGGGCGTCTGTGCATTTCCAGGCTCTGGGTCCTAGCTCTGGTGCCAGGGGGAGTGTTACCAGCTCCTGTGTGCTCTGCTCCTCCACCTCAGCCATCCCTTCCCGAAGCTCATTCCAGGATCTTTTTTTTTTTTTTTTTGGTAGGTCGTGGGCTTGAACTCTGGGTTTGGGCTCAGAGCTCTTCAGCTCAAGGCAAACGCTCTACCATTTGAGCCACAGCGCCACTTCCCCATTCCAGGATCTTTTTTTTTTTTGTTTTGTTTTTTGTTTTTTGGTCCGGTCATGGGGCCTGAACTCTGGGCCTGGGCGCTGTCCCTCAGCTCTTCAGCTGAAGGCTAGCACTCTACCACTTGAGCCACAGCGCCACTTCTGGCTTTTTTCTTTTTGCTTATGTGGTGCTGAGGAATCGAACCCAGGGCCTCATGCATGCAAGGCAAGCGCTCTACCACTGAGCCACCTTCCCAGCCCCCCATTCCAGGATCTTATACCAGTTTCTCTTCCCAGAGTTGGTGGCCCCTGCTGGCATGCCAGGCTCCCCATCTGAGAGGATACTGTCCACCCTGGTTCAGGGCCAGGATAGGGCCAAGCATCAGCTGGCCCCCTGCTCCTGAAGGGGACAGTCTAATCCCAAAACTGCTTACTAAGATGAACAAACACTTGTTTTTAGAAATACAGAATCCTGGGGCTGGGAAGGTGGCTCAGTGGTAGAGGGTTTGCCTTGCATGCCTGAGGCCCTGGGTTCGCTTCCTCAGCACCACATAAGCAGGAAAAAAAAGCCGGAAGTGGCGCTGTGGCTCAAGTGGTAGAGCACTAGCCTTGAGCTGAAGAGCTGAGGGACAGCACCCAGGCCCAGAGTTCAGGCCCCAAAACCGGACCAAAAAAAAAAACAAAAAAAAAAAATTGTTTTAGTAGCCAGGCGCCAGTGGCTCACGCCTGTAATCCTAGCTACTCAGGAGACTGAGATCTGAGGATCATGGTTCAAAGCCAGCCAGGGGAAGGGGAAGGAAAGTCCGTGAGACTCTTATCTCCAATAAACCACTAGAAAACTGGAAGTGGCGCTGTGGCTCAAGTGATAGAGCGCTCATCTTGAGCTGAAGAGCTGAGGGGCAGCGCCCAGACCCAGAGTTCAAGCCCCATGACTGACAAAAAAAAAAAAAAAGAAATTGTTTTAGTTATTTTTTTTTTTTTTTTTGGGTCCGGTCGTGGGGCCTGAACTCTGGGCCTGGGCTCTGCCCCTCAGCTCTTCAGCTCAAGGCGAGCACTCTACCACTTGAGCCACAGCGCCACTTCCAGTTTTTTTCTTTTTGCTTACGTGGTGCTGAGGAATCGAACCCAGAGCCTCAGGCATGCAAGACAAGCGCTCTACCACTGAGCCACCTTCCCAGCCCCCTGGCTGCATATTTTCAAGTGAAAGTAGCCTGTCTGAAAGGTTCTGTAGTTCTACCTCCATGACATCTGGCAAAGGCCAAACTGAGGACAAGAAGAGGATGCGTGGTTGCCAGGAGCTGCAGCGGTGGGCGAGTGGGTGGCACTGTGTGGGATTTGGTGAGCGTGGCGTTCTGCATCTGCCCGAACCCAGCAAGTCCTGCACAAGCGCGCCTTGTGTCTGGCGAGCAGATGCCCTGCCAGTGTGAAGTGAGCCGGCAAGGGAGCCCCAGGTAGAGATCTGTGTCTTCTGTGTGATTCCTCAAGTAGCTCAAAGCTGTTCCGAAAATAAAGTTTGTTGTTTTAGTTAAAACCTATTTTGCAAAGGAAGGATATGGGACAGCTGCGAGGCCTGGATGCCAGGTGACGCCGTCCGTGCCCCACAGGCTGCGCCATGGCTGGTGCGGCGGGGATGCTGCTGCTGCTGCTGGGGCTGCTGCTGCCCCAGGAGGCGCCCGCGTCCCTGCAGAGCAGGAAAGGGTCTGCGATCCTGTCCCACAAGGTGAGTGCGTGAGCCTGCCCCCCCCCCCCCCCCGGCTCCCTGACGTTTCCCCACACAGCCCACAGTGCCAGGCCTGGCTGGGGCAGTGCCCGCCCCGGACTGTCAGGGCAGCTGACTGGGGGGGAGGGGGTCCTGGACAGTTAGGGCAGCTGACTGGGGGGGGGGAGGGGGCCCTGGACAGTTAGGGCAGCTGACTGGGGGGTTGGCCCCCGACGGTCGGGGCAGCTGATGGGGGGGAGGGGCCCCGACGGTTGGGGCAGCTGCCCGGGGCCCAGGCCGAGTCCTCTGGGGCTGGGGTGGCGGGTGTGGCAGCAGGGTCACCCCAGCCCCGCTGTAGGAGAATGGGGAGGCCTGCGGACAGCACTCCGAGTGCCAGACCAATTGCTGTGTGCGCACCAGCCTGAACCCGCAGAAGTTCTGCACCACCCAGAACCTCTTCCAGCAGTGCCTGCCCTGGCGGAAGGTGGGGGCCTGAAGGGGGAGGGGGAGGTCTGGCGGGGGAGGGGGTCCACTGGGGGAGGGGGTCCACTGGGGAGAGGGGGCTGTGAGGCTGGCCTGGGCCCAGCATCTGGAGCTGGTGTGGCCACTCCCGCAGCCCAACGGACATCGGTGCTCCAGCCATAAGGACTGCTACAGCGACTGCTGCGTGCAGACTGGCAGGCAGCCAGACATGTTCTGCAACACCAAGACCATGCTGCAGTGCGTGGCCTGGCGCAAGGTGGGCTGCGGGGGAGGGGGGCGGGGGAGGGCAGCCCGGGGGAGCTGGCCTCGGTCCCCCTGACCCAGCCTCCCCACAGCCCGACAGAGACCTGTGCAGCAGCCACAACCAGTGCTGGAGCCTGTGCTGCATCCAGGTGGGTGAGTCCAGCCCCACGCGCTGCTGGCCGCGGACAGGGTTCCTGGCACAGTGCCTGCCACTGGTAAGTGCAGCTGCGGGCCCCCAACCACCACACGGGGGGTGGGTCCCTCTTGGAGGGAGCAACTGCAACATCCATACCTGCCATCCTGCTCCCTGAGCAGACCCATAGCGGTGTCAGGAGACCAGGCCCCAGCTCAGGACAGGCCCAGGGTCAGGACAGGCCCCAGCTCAGGACAGGCCCCAGCTCAGGACAGGCCCCAGCTCAGGACAGGCCCCGGGTCAGGACAGGCCCCAGCTCAGGACAGGCCCAGGGTCAGGACAGGCCCCAGCTCAGGACAGGCCCAGGGTCAGGACAGGCCCCAGCTCAGGACAGGCCCAGGGTCAGGACAGGCCCCAGCTCAGGACAGGCCCAGGGTCAGGACAGGCCCCAGCTCAGGACAGGCCCAGGGTCAGGACAGGCCCCAGCTCAGGACAGGCCTCAGCTCAGGACAGGCCCCAGCTCAGGACAGGCCCCAGCTCAGGACAGGCCCAGGGTCAGGACAGGCCCCAGCTCAGGACAGGCCCAGGGTCAGGACAGGCCCCAGCTCAGGACAGGCCCAGGGTCAGGACAGGCCCCAGCTCAGGACAGGCCCAGGGTCAGGACAGGCCCCAGCTCAGGACAGGCCCAGGGTCAGGACAGGCCCCAGCTCAGGACAGGCCCCAGCTCAGGACAGGCCCAGGGTCAGGACAGGCCCAGGGTCAGGACAGGCCCAGGGTCAGGACAGGCCCCAGCTCAGGACAGGCCCCAGCTCAGGACAGGCCCAGGGTCAGGACAGGCCCCAGCTCAGGACAGGCCCAGGGTCAGGACAGGCCCCAGCTCAGGACAGGCCTCAGCTCAGGACAGGCCCCAGCTCAGGACAGGCCCAGGGTCAGGACAGGCCCCAGCTCAGGACAGGCCCAGGGTCAGGACAGGCCCCAGCTCAGGACAGGCCCAGGGTCAGGACAGGCCCCAGCTCAGGACAGGCCCAGGGTCAGGACAGGCCCCAGCTCAGGACAGGCCCAGGGTCAGGACAGGCCCCAGCTCAGGACAGGCCCAGGGTCAGGACAGGCCCCAGCTCAGGACAGGCCCAGGGTCAGGACAGGCCCCAGCTCAGGACAGGCCCAGGGTCAGGACAGGCCCCAGCTCAGGACAGGCCCAGGGTCAGGACAGGCCCCAGCTCAGGACAGGCCCCAGCTCAGGACAGGCCCAGGGTCAGGACAGGCCCCAGCTCAGGACAGGCCCAGGGTCAGGACAGGCCCCAGCTCAGGACAGGCCCAGGGTCAGGACAGGCCCCAGCTCAGGACAGGCCCAGGGTCAGGACAGGCCCCAGCTCAGGACAGGCCCAGGGTCAGGACAGGCCCCAGCTCAGGACAGGCCCAGGGTCAGGACAGGCCCCAGCTCAGGACAGGCCTCAGCTCAGGACAGGCCCAGGGTCAGGACAGGCCCAGGGTCAGGACAGGCCCCAGCTCAGGACAGGCCCAGGGTCAGGACAGGCCCCAGCTCAGGACAGGCCTCAGCTCAGGACAGGCCCCAGCTCAGGACAGGCCTCAGCTCAGGACAGGCCCAGGGTCAGGACAGGCCCCAGCTCAGGACAGGCCTCAGCTCAGGACAGGCCCCAGTTCAGGACAGGCCCAGGGTCAGGACAGGCCCCGGGTCAGGACAGGCCTCAGCTCAGGACAGGCCCCAGCTCAGGACAGGCCTCAGCTCAGGACAGGCCCAGGGTCAGGACAGGCCCCAGCTCAGGACAGGCCTCAGCTCAGGACAGGCCCAGGGTCAGGACAGGCCCAGGGTCAGAACAGGCCTCAGCTCAGGACAGGCCCCAGCTCAGGACAGGCCCAGGGTCAGGACAGGCCCCAGCTCAGGACAGGCCCAGGGTCAGGATAGGCCAAGGGTCAGGACAGGCCTCAGCTCAGGACAGGCCCAGGGTCAGGACAGCCTGCTGGCAGTTCTAGCTCCAGGGACCCCGGCAGGTTTCTCTGGTGAAAGGCGGTTCTTCAGACCCCACATCACCCTGGTACCCCCAGTGCCCTTCTGCCCCACTGGGGGTCAGCACCGGCTGTTCTGAGGGGGTGGGGCTGGAGCACCGTCCGGTGTGCGCAGGGGTCCGACCTGCCTGGGAGGTGGCTTCCGTCCCTCCACCCCGCACAACCATTTCCTAATCTTTGTCATGTCCTTTAGTGAAGAGACACAGACCTGGACTGCAGAGATATTTTTGGAGGACCTGACAGGGGTCGAGCTCTGTTCCCTGCTTGCTCTCCGGGGCTCTGGAAAGCTGTGGGCATCACAGACACCTGTTGCTTGCTGTTGATATGAACTCTGTGAGATGTATTCCTTACACCTGTGAGAACAAATGGCTCAGGTGCCACAATGACTGCATACAAATAAACACCACTTGCTGAATGAACCAGAGTCCAAACACTGTTTTTCACAAACATGGGCTGAGAAGGTGGCTCAGTGGTAGAGTGCTTGCCTTGAATGCATGAGGCCCTGGGTTCGATTCCTCAGCACCACATAAGCAGAAAAAGCCGGAAGTGGCGCTGTGGCTCAAGTGGTAGAGTGCTAGCCTTGAGCTGAAGAGCTGAGGGACAGCACCCAGGTCCCAAGTTCAAACTCCACGACCAACCAAAAAAACAAACAAAAACCCCCACCAAAGTCATGGCACTCTATGAAACCTGAAGACTGCTAGGTACTGGTGGTTTATGCCTCAAATTCCATCTACTAAGGAGGCTGAAGTAGGGAGATCTTAGTTGGAAATTAGCCTGGGCAGTCTCCAAAATAACCAGGTGGTGAGAAGCAAGGAGAGAAAGGAAGAAAGAAAAAAGAAGGGAGAGAGGGTGGGCGGGCTGAACTGCAGTTCCTTCCTGGGAAGCCTGCGGAGGGGCCGGGATGCAGGGCTGTGTGAGGCCCCAGGCTCGAGCCCTCCTGAGAGGGACTTTCCACACCAATTCTGCAGTTTTTGTCACTGCAGATAAAAATGGTCACTTGGTTGCTCCATATGGAGAAGTCTTCCCTGAACTCATCGCTCAGGCCCAAATTCAGGACGGGAAGTGGACCACACCTCCTGGCTACATACCGGGCCATAGCTGCTTTCCCTGCTTCTCTGTCTTCCTGGTGGGCTCAGGAAGTGGCTTCTTCATCCTCCTGTGCATGTGATTAACTGGTAGCAGTGTGAGAACGGTTGGCCCGGGCAGGGCCTGGCCTGGCCTCCACTTACTGCCTGCAGGGGAGTCTGCCTTTGGCCCGAGTCTCCGGTCACCCCTGAGACTCATTGCAAGTCTCTGGAAGTAGAGGTGGAGGCAGGGATCTCAGGCTGAGCCTCCATGTGGAGCCCAGGGCTGAAGTGAGGATGGAGGAGAGGCAACGCTCAAGGGAGGAGCCAGAAGGGACCATGACCTTGGCATGTGTACCTGTCTGGAGAAATCCCTGAGGTGTCACCTCCCTTACCCCCAGTCCCGTCTGCCCTAGAAAGGCCCTTGCCCTGAAGTGGCTGCTGATTGCACCCGGCAGGGCTGAGCAAGGGACTCCACACAGCTCAGCAGGGCCAGGCAGGCCTTGAGGACCCCTGAACCCATTCTTCTCCTCTGCTATAACTTGACTGTGTGTGTCTCCCCTCCCCAGCTCCCCTAGAAAGTCTACACCGAGTCCCACTGACCAGCCTGGCGGTGACCCCCCCTTCCCGGGGTGGCGGCTGCAGGGGGCGCGGGGCTCTTCTCTCCAAGCCTCAACGCCATCTGTGACCAATATCAGGAACTAGAAGTTCACTCCCAGGTGCTCTGATACAGGCAGCAAAACACCACAGATTCCTTCCGTCACAGGTCTAAGTGAACGTGTTTGAGAACGTGGAAAATTAAGAGGAGAGATTTAAACTTCCCAGCTTTAAACTAACTTCTCAACAGACACCGGTGGCACATGCCTATAATCCCAGCAGCGCAGGGGACCGAGATCTGAAGATGAGGGTCTGAAGCCAGCTACAGTGACTCCTATTTCCATTTAATCCCCAAGATAGTTGGTGGAATGCCAGCCTTGAACAAGAAAGCTAAGGGACAGTGCTCAGGCTCTGAGTTCAAGACCCCATACTCACAGAAAAATTATTTCAAACTGATTTTTTTTTTTTTTTTTGGGTCCGGTTGTGGGGCCTGAACTCTGGGCCTGGGCACTGTCCCTCAGCTCTTCAGCTTAAGGCTAGCGCTCTACCACTTGAGCCACAGCGCCATCTCCGGCTTTTTTCTTTTTGCTTATGTGGTGCTGAGGAATCGAACCCAGGGCCTTGAGCATGCAAGGCAAGCGCTCTACCACTGAGCCACCTTTCCAGCCCTATAAACTGATTTTTTAAGTCTTTATAGCTCACAGCATATTTGTATATTCGTTATGAACTAAGGCCCTGAACTCATACCCTAGAAAAGCTCTTACCTGACAGATGAGTCTTGGGGGGACAGACTTTATTGAGGGCGTTGGCCACCCCCAGAGGACTTCTGGCTTGAGGCCTGCTTCAGTTCTGGGGTACATGGAGTGTTTACACAAGGACCAGATCAGGGTCACGGCTGGAGATCAAAACCAGGGATGGTCATGGGGAGGGCTTTCTTTTCTTTTTTTTTTTTGGTCCGGTTGTGGGGCCTGAACTCTGGGCCTGGGCTCTGTCCCTCAGCTCTTCAGCTCAAGGCTAGCGCTCTACCACTTGAGCCACAGTGCCACTTCTGGCTTTTTTTTTTTTCTTTCTGCTTATGTGGTGCTGAGGAATCGAACCCAGGGCCTTGAGCATGCAAGGCAAGCACTCTACCACTGAGCCACCTTCCCAGCCCCAGGGCTTTCTTTTCTATCGAGGGCAGCATTGTCAAGCTTCCTGTCAGCTTTGCGGCCAACTGCCAGTTTCTGGAATACCCCAGAGAAGCAGTTAATACCTCGGGAACTTGTTGGGGGGGGGGGGGGGGAGGCCGTCTTCTGAGAACTGCGGGATGGGATAAAGCCAGGGCTGCCAGCGCTCTGGGCTCATGCAGTTCCGTGGCCAGCCACGGGAGGGCGGCCTGGCCTCAGGAACGCAGAGGCTGTAGGCACCTGAGCCCCGACATTTCCTGTCCCAGCAGGACCAGCCATTGACCAGCAGTTGACCTGCGGCGGAGCGGGCACAGGCTTCCCAGGGTGCCTGGCCGGCAGAGGCCGGGGCGGCCCCCAGCAGGGCTGGGGGTGCCCACCAAACCAGCTTGGGACCTGTGCTCAAGCTGGACACCAGATTTCTGTCTGTCCAGATTTCTGTGTCCAGGGAGCCACAGCTGAGTGTGGGGTCCTCCTGGAGGGCAGCAAGGGCTGCAGCGGGGCACGTGGATGCCAGGTGCTGCTGAGGGAGCGCACACGGACATCGTCCTGCCTTGCGGGGGCTGTGTGTGTGTGTGTGATCCTAGGCTGCCCTGGGGCTCAGCCATCCTCCATCCCTGCCTGCTGAGTGCAGGGATCGCAGGCGTGCGCTACTGCCCCCAGCCCATTGCATGGCAACCTTACACAGCCCTGTGTTAGCTCACAGCTGACCTCTTTCCGGTGGCTGTGCAGCGGTCACCAACATTGCCTCCAGGGTGCATCCCAGGGTTCACACACTTCAGTCCTCGTCTCAGACGAAGGACTTAGGACACAAGCTATCCACAGGGGGCTCGTGAATGGACGGGTGTGCCCCCCTGCCCACAGGCCACAGCCCCTCTGCTCCGGCCACATTCACTTCCTCACACAGACTGGCTTCCTCCCCTGCTCATGCCCACAGGCCCCAAATTGTGCCATGTTCCCTCCTGGCTCTGCCTTCCCCTGAAGCTGGCCCCCTCCTCCCTGGCCAGGTCCCTGGCCTGGAAGTCTATCTTTACTGGGGTTGGTGGCTGCCGATCAGGACGTGGGTGGGGGCCAGGCCGTGCCGGGGAAGCCATGCCGGTGGGTCAGATCTAGGACCCTGCAGCACAGAGGCAAGCTGAGTTGTGCTGTGTATCCTAGGTGTTGGTGGCCAGTCCTGTTTCTCGACACTGTGTCGAGTCCACTCCATGGCTGTGTTACAGCTGGAGGCTGTGACCCTGGCCAGGGCCTTCACAGCTCCCAAGATGTAGCCGCCACCGAGGATCTCAGCCCTGCTCGGATGGCTCCACCACAGGAAGACACTGCCCAGGGGCCACTGCTCCGCAGTGCGGTGTCCGTGCTGCCCCTTCCCTGGGGAGCAGGGCTCTGTGCGGTGACTTGGGCAATTTGCTCTCCCACCGGCATTGAGTGAGGGTGAACCCGGCTTGCCACCCACTCATCCACAGGATAAGCTCTGAACTGTTCATCTGTAGGGCCCTGTGTGCTGCGAGCGGCCTGCACACTGCCCGGCCGGGTTACTGGTGAACACGAGGGGACCTAGGCATTCTCGGAGATGGAGGTGACTCAAATCTGAAAGGAAGACCGGGGCAGGCAGGTACTGTCAGCAGCTGCACACAGGGCCTGGCTTCCTGACCCAGGAACAGGCCCTGCAGCAAAGCCATGCAGATAACGTGGACACGGATCTGCTGGGGTGCGGGGGTGTCCCCCTCTGCAACATCACTGCAGGTACGAGACTTTGGTCTGGGGCTCAGGCAGCCCAGGGACACATCAGACCCCACCTCGGACACAGATCAAACAGGGGTGACACTCAGATGGAAGTCAGATGCAGGGGGTCCTGGGCCCCGTGTGTGGAGGCGGTGATGGCTGCTGCTCCCCGCCCAGGGACAGCTCTGCTTCCTCAGGGAGGGTTCTCTGGCAGTAGGCGGGAGGCAGACCCCCCCTTGTCCCGCACCCCACCGACCTGCACCAACCGGGCAGTGGAAGAGCAGGCTCTGAGGGGGGAGCCGGCTGTGCGGTGGCCGGGGTTGGCTTGGCGGGTCAACCTGGGCTGACTTGCTCAGACGTGGTCGCAGGCCCCCCCCACAGACAGGAAGGAGCCAGGTTTTTAGCACAGCTGGAAAGCGAACCACAGAGCAAGGACAAACTCCTTCCTGCCACGCTCTGCCGAGCGGCAGGGCCTCCAAGCGCAGCAGCAGCATGCGGGGGGTGGGGGGTGGGGGTGGAAGGGGGGCGGCGGTGGCTGGACCTGCAGGATGATCATCAACCTCCGCATCACACTGGACCACATTTCACTCAAGTCAAGGCTGTGTTTGTCCTCATCAACTGATCTAAAATAAAGTGAAGCTAGGCTTCACACTGGTGGCTCACACCTGTAATCCCAGCTGTTCAGGAGGCTGAGATCCTTGGATCAAAGTTTAAGCTAGCCCCAGCAGGAAAATCCCAAACTCCCTAATCTCCAAGAAACTACTCAGGAAAAAAAAAAAAAAAAAAAAGCTGGGAGTGGAGCTGTGGCTCAAGTGGTAGATGCCAGCCTTGAGCAAAAAAGCTCAGGGACAGTGCTCAGGCCCTGAGTTAAAAAAATCCCAGGACTGTCAGGCACCAGTGGCTCACGCCTATAATCCTAGCTCAGGAGGCTGAGATCTGAGGATCATAGTTCAAAGCCAGCCTGGGCAAGAAAGTCTGAGAGACTCTTATCTTCAATGAGCCACCAGAAAACTGGAAGTGATGCTGTGACTCAAATGGTAGAGGGCTAGCTTTGAGCTGAAGAGCTGAGGGACAGCGCCCAGGCCCAGAATTCAAGCCCCATGATGGACAAAAAAAAAAAAAAAGTGACAACACAATGTAGATAGAACTGAAAATAAGAACAAAGCAGACGGCCATCCTGAACCAGAAGCCTGGCAAGCAGAAGTGGGCATCTTCGTGTGGAACACTCTAGAAGCAGTGTGAGCAAAAGCGATGGCAGAGCGCTGAGGTGGGCAGCCTCCTATCCTTCTGGAAGCCTTTTGTGCTTCTGTCTGGAAGACGCATTTGGAGAACAGTGCACTGAGCACAGAGTCCACAGACTTGTCCTTGTAACGGGAGCTGGCCAGTCCCGAAGTCCACTCTAATGAGCTGTAGACCTGACACGCTCAGGTGGACTGGGGCAAGCCTGGAGGACCACCGTCCTTCACGGGCAGCGTGAGCTAGTGCAGCAGGGGCTGAAGTCCCTCAGCAGCTTTCTTCCCAGGGCAGAGGACTCGGCCTGGCATCCTCGAGGGTGGTTGCTGCGGTTAGCAACCCTGTTTTTCTCCTCCCCTCCTTCTCTCTCTGCCAGGCCTGGGGCTTGAACTCTGGGCCTAAGCACGGTTTCTGAGCATCTTTTGCTCTTCTGGCTTTTCCTGTGATTAACCCTTGAGCAGCTGGGTGGCGGCTGGGCCTCTGGGCCCGGTGTTTGTTTCTTTGTGAAGGAGTCACGGAATAACCAGCGCGGTGCCTGGGAACTTCTCAAAAGATTACCAGGTTAAGAATTTAATAATGTTTTGTATTTATATTAACAGACTATTTACACGTGTTTATCATTAAAAACAAACAAAAAGGCCCTTTCCGCTTCCGTCCCGGGGAGGGCGGCCGCTGCCCTGCGCAGGGTTGGTGACTCCGGCGGAGCCTCTGCGCCTCCCTGCGGCCGGGCCTCGCGCGGGACACAAGATCTTCCCAGGCACAGGACCCGAGCCGCGGGTTCGAGCCCCGGGGCCGCCGCCCGGGCCGCCGGGGTGTTTTTGGTTCTTTTCAGCGTCGGAGGAGCCCGAAATTAACAAAAGATACAAAACGTTAAAAACGCTGCGGTGCGGGCGGCCTTGCGTGGCGGGGCGCTGACCTCCCGCGTTGCGGGGCGGGCGGGGCGCTGACCTCCCGCGTTGCGGGGCGGCCTTGCGTGGCGGGGCGCTGACCTCCCGCGTTGCGGGCCGGGCCGCCGCTGACCTCCCGCGTTGCGGGGCGGCCTTGCGGGGTGGCCTGGCTGCTGACCTCCCGCGTTGCGGGGCGGCCTTGCGTGGCGGGGCGCTGACCGCGTTGCGGGGCGGCCTTGCGGGGTGGCCTGGCGGCTGACCTCCCGCGTTGCGGGCCGGGCCGCCGCTGACCCCCCCCCCGCCGGCCGCTCTACCGCGCCTCCACCTCCTGCGGGTTGCGCGGCGGCGGCGGGGAGAAGTCGGGCGCGGCGCGGGGGCGCGCGGGGCCCGCGGCGGCCACCAGGGGCGGCGGGGGCGCCGAGCGCGGCGGCGCGGGCGGGCGGCGGCGGCGCGGCCTCGGGCTCCCGCAGGCGCTCGGGGCTGCGGTCCAGCGGCTCGCGGTCGCGGTACGGGCGCGGCGCGGGCGCGGGGAAGGCGCGGCGCGGCGCCTCCAGGCCGCGGAAGGCGTCCCGCAGCGGCTCCCACGCCGGGCCCAGGCGCTCGCGGCCCAGGCCCAGGCCGGGCGGCGCGGGCGCGGGCGCGGGGCGCGGGCGCGCGGGGCCCGGCGCCGGCTCCTCCTCCTCCCCGCGCTCCTCCTTGACCTTCACGTCGCCCCGGGGCTCGCGCGGGGACGGCGCGCGGGGCTCCAGCGCGGGCGAGAGGCTCTCCTTGACCCGCGGCGGGAGGCCGCCCAGGGCGCGGCCCGGCGCGGCGGGCGCGGCGCGGCTCAGCAGGCGCGGCTTCTCCAGCAGCTCCCTGCGCGACGGGCGGAGGGCGGAGGCCGGGGGTCAGGCCGCGACCGGAAAGGGGTCATCGGGGCCGCGGATGGGGGTGACCCGGGCCGCCGCGTCGGGCAGGGATGCGGGCGGCCGCGCGAGCACGCCGGGGGCGGGGCCGCGCGAGCACGCCGGGGGCGGGGCCGCGCGAGCACGCCGGGGGCGGGGCCGCGCGAGCACGCCGGGGGCGGGGCCGCGCGAGCACGCCGGGGGCGGGGCCGCGCGAGCACGCCGGGGGCGGGGCCGCGCGAGCACGCCGGGGGCGGGGCCGCGCGAGCACGCCGGGGGCGGGGCCTGACGGGGCGGGGCCACGGGTGGGGCGGGGCTGGAGGGGGCGGAGCCACGAGGCGGGGCGGGGCGTCCACCTTCTCCACACTTAGAGTGGCGCCAGCTGCCATCCCTCTCCCCCTGGGCTCCTCTGTGACCTCAGGGCGGGGGAGGAGGGGAGCTGGGGAGGTACAGGGAGGAGGGGAGCTGGGGAGGCACAGGGGGGAGGAGGGGAGCTGGGGAGGCACAGGGAGGAGGGGAGCTGGGGAGGCACAGGGGGAGGAGGGGAGCTGGGGAGGCACAGGGGGAGGAGGGGGAGCTGGGGAGGCACAGGGAGGAGGGGAGCTGGGGAGGCACAGGGAGGAGGGGAGCTGGGGAGGTACAGGGAGGAGGGGAGCTGGGGAGGTAGGGGGAGGAGGGGAGCTGGGGAGGCACAGGGGGAGGAGGGGAGCTGGGGAGGCACAGGGGGAGGAGGGGGAGCTGGGGAGGCACAGGGAGGAGGGGAGCTGGGGAGGCACAGGGGGAGGAGGGGAGCTGGGGAGGCACAGGGGGAGGAGGGGAGCTGGGGAGGCACAGGGAGGAGGGGAGCTGGGGAGGCACAGGGAGGAGGGGAGCTGGGGAGGCACAGGGAGGAGGGGAGCTGGGGAGGCACAGGGAGGAGGGGAGCTGGGGAGGCACAGGGGGAGGAGGGGAGCTGGGGAGGCACAGGGGAGGAGGGGGAGCTGGGGAGGCACAGGGAGGAGGGGAGCTGGGGAGGCACAGGGAGGAGGAGGGGAGCTGGGGAGGCACAGGGAGGAGGGGAGCTGGGGAGGCACAGGGGGAGGAGGGGAGCTGGGGAGGCACAGGGGGAGGAGGGGAGCTGGGGAGGCACAGGGGGAGGAGGGAAGCTGGGGAGGCACAGGGGGAGGAGGGGAGCTGGGGAGGCACAGGGAGGAGGGGAGCTGGGGAGGCACAGGGAGGAGGGGAGCTGGGGAGGCACAGGGGGAGGAGGGGGAGCTGGGGAGGCACAGGGAGGAGGGGGAGCTGGGGAGGCACAGGGGGAGGAGGGGGAGCTGGGGAGGCACAGGGGGAGGAGGGGGAGCTGGGGAGGCACAGGGAGGAGGGGAGCTGGGGAGGCACAGGGAGGAGGGGAGCTGGGGAGGCACAGGGAGGAGGGGGAGCTGGGGAGGCACAGGGAGGAGGGGGAGCTGGGGAGGCACAGGGGGAGGAGGGGAGCTGGGGAGGCACAGGGAGGAGGGGAGCTGGGGAGGCACAGGGGGGAGGGGAGCTGGGGAGGCACAGGGAGGAGGGGAGCTGGGGAGGTACAGGGGGAGGAGGGGAGCTGGGGAGGCACAGGGGGAGGAGGGGGAGCTGGGGAGGCACAGGGAGGAGGGGAGCTGGGGAGGCACAGGGGGAGGAGGGGAGCTGGGGAGGCACAGGGGGAGGAGGGGAGCTGGGGAGGCACAGGGAGGAGGGGGAGGGGGAGCTGGGGAGGCACAGGGAGGAGGGGAGCTGGGGAGGCACAGGGAGGAGGGGAGCTGGGGAGGCACAGGGAGGAGGGGAGCTGGGGAGGCACAGGGGGAGGGGGAGCTGGGGAGGCACAGGGGGGAGGGGGAGCTGGGGAGGTACAGGGGGAGGAGGGGAGCTGGGGAGGCACAGGGGGAGGAGGGGAGCTGGGGAGGTACAGGGGGAGGAGGGGAGCTGGGGAGGCACAGGGAGGAGGGGAGCTGGGGAGGCACAGGGAGGAGGGGGAGCTGGGGAGGCACAGGGAGGAGGGGAGCTGGGGAGGCACAGGGGGGAGGGGGAGCTGGGGAGGTACAGGGGGGAGGGGAGCTGGGGAGGTACAGGGGGAGGAGGGGAGCTGGGGAGGCACAGGGGGAGGAGGGGAGCTGGGGAGGCACAGGGAGGAGGGGAGCTGGGGAGGCACAGGGGGGAGGGGAGCTGGGGAGGCACAGGGGGAGGAGGGGAGCTGGGGAGGTACAGGGAGGAGGGGAGCTGGGGAGGCACAGGGGGAGGAGGGGAGCTGGGGAGGCACAGGGGGAGGAGGGGAGCTGGGGAGGCACAGGGGGAGGAGGGGAGCTGGGGAGGCACAGGGGGAGGAGGGGGAGCTGGGGAGGCACAGGGAGGAGGGGAGCTGGGGAGGCACAGGGAGGAGGGGGAGCTGGGGAGGCACAGGGGGGAGGGGGAGCTGGGGAGGTACAGGGGGAGGAGGGGAGCTGGGGAGGCACAGGGGGAGGAGGGGAGCTGGGGAGGTACAGGGGGAGGAGGGGAGCTGGGGAGGCACAGGGGGAGGAGGGGAGCTGGGGAGGCACAGGGAGGAGGGGAGCTGGGGAGGCACAGGGGGGAGGAGGGGAGCTGGGGAGGCACAGGGGGAGGAGGGGAGCTGGGGAGGCACAGGGAGGAGGGGAGCTGGGGAGGCACAGGGGGAGGAGGAGCTGGGGAGGCACAGGGAGGAGGGGAGCTGGGGAGGCACAGGGGGAGGAGGGGAGCTGGGGAGGCACAGGGAGGAGGGGAGCTGGGGAGGCACAGGGGGAGGAGGGGAGCTGGGGAGGCACAGGGGGAGGAGGGGGAGCTGGGGAGGTACAGGGGGGAGGGGAGCTGGGGAGGCACAGGGAGGAGGGGAGCTGGGGAGGCACAGGGGGGAGGGGGAGCTGGGGAGGCACAGGGGGGAGGGGAGCTGGGGAGGCACAGGGAGGAGGGGGAGCTGGGGAGGCACAGGGGGAGGAGGGGAGCTGGGGAGGCACAGGGAGGAGGGGAGCTGGGGAGGCACAGGGAGGAGGGGAGCTGGGGAGGCACAGGGAGGAGGGGAGCTGGGGAGGCACAGGGAGGAGGGGAGCTGGGGAGGCACAGGGAGGAGGGGAGCTGGGGAGGCACAGGGGGAGGAGGGGAGCTGGGGAGGCACAGGGGGAGGAGGGGGAGCTGGGGAGGTACAGGGGGGAGGGGAGCTGGGGAGGCACAGGGAGGAGGGGAGCTGGGGAGGCACAGGGGGGAGGGGGAGCTGGGGAGGCACAGGGGGGAGGGGAGCTGGGGAGGTACAGGGAGGAGGGGGAGCTGGGGAGGCACAGGGGGAGGAGGAGGGGAGCTGGGGAGGCACAGGGGGAGGAGGAGGGGAGCTGGGGAGGCACAGGGGGAGGAGGGGAGCTGGGGAGGTAGGGGAGGTGCGGGGCAGAGGAGGCGCAGCCCACTCACCGCTCGCAGTCCTCTCTGCCCTTGTCCAGCTCTCTGTCGGGGCTGGTCAAGACGTCCAAAGGCTTGGGCCAGGTGGGCGGCGTGGGGAAGGAGGGCGGGGCGCGGTGTAGCCGGGTCCAGGCCTCGTGGGGGCTGGGCAGGCCGTGCAGCACGGAGCCCTCCTTGGGGGCAAAGAGGCTGCCCCCGGGAGCTGCAGTGGGAGGGGCACGGCACGGGTGGGGTGAGTGTGGGGCTCCTGTCCCGGGGCAGCTTCTCCAGACCCCATAGGGGTGCGGCCTGGACAGGAGCGGCACAGGGGAGACCAGGGGGAAGCAGGGTCAACCACAGGTGTGGGAAGGACACGGGGAGGACATGGGGGGGGACGCGGGGAGGATGGGGGGGGACGTGGGGAGGACGCGGGGAGGACGCGGGGGGACGGGGGGAGGATGCGGGGGGACGCGGGGAGGACGCGGGGAGGATGGGGGGGGACGCGGGGAGGACGCGGGGGGACGGGGGGAGGACGCGGGCGGGACACGGGGGGGACGCGGGAAGGACGCGGGAGGGACGCGGGGGGGACGCGGGGGGACGCAGGGGACACAGGGGACACGGGATGCAGGAGGACGCAGGAGGATGCGGGGGACCCCGGTCACTCACTCAGCACACGGCTGCCCAGGCCGCCGAAGGCATGGCTCCCCAAGCTTCCCAGGCCCCCGAAGGTGCTTGCTCTACTGAAGGGGTCTGCAGGGAAAGGGGGCTCAGGAGGACGCCAAGGCCGGCAGGGGTGGCCCCAGAGGGTTTGGGCAGGCAGGGACACCGGTACCACCACCGGTACTCACCTCCTAGAGCCCCCCACCCCCCGGCCAGGCTGCACGGGGTCCGGCACCCACCTGTCAGGTGACCAGCTGGCAGGAAGCTGCTGGGATGGGTCGAAGGTCCAAATGGATCAGTAGCCAGATGGGCAGCACCTGAGTATTGGGTAGCCAGGTTAATCTTTTTTTTGGGGGGGGGTCCGGTAGTGGGGCCTGAACTCTGGGCCTGGGCGCTGTCCCTCAGCTCTTCAGCTCAAGGCTAGCGCTCTACCACTTGAACCACAGCGCCACTTCAGGCTTTTTTCTTTTTGCTTATGTGGTACTGAGGAATCGAACCCAGGGCCTCATGTATGCAAGGCAAGCGCTCTACCACTGAGCCACCTTCCCAGCCCCTGGGTAGCCAGGTTAAAAGAACCCCAGAAGGTGTACCTGGCATGTCCAGCCTGCAGTGCCAGTCACTGGTGGAAGCTGGCCCCTCTGCCCCAAGCCCCCCAGCCCCTGTGAAGGTAGTGGGCAGGGGCAGAGGTCAGTCCCCTCCCCAGAGCCGGAGTTGACATGACTTTGGTGACAACTATTTGGGACCTGGGGGGGGGGGGTGCAGCAAGGGTGCTAACTGTGCCAAGGCTCCCTCAAAGTGCTGGGATTTGGGGCAGAGACTGAGGGCAAAGGCCCAAGTCGAGTGAGCCAATACAGCTGCTCCTAAGGCCAGTAACCGGAGCTTTTAGCCCACCAGCCAGAAATGATCCTGGCTACTCAAGGCAAGGGCCCGATCTTGGATCCTGGTCTTGTGTGTGCAACATGTCTGTCTTGTTTGAGAGACCCTGTACACAGGGTCCAGCCCACAAGGGTCCCCAATGGCAACCGTGCTGACCAATCGCTGAGGCACCCAGAACCAAGTATGGAGAGTAGTGCTGGGGCTACTGGCCTGAGTCCATCCGCACATGGGGCGCGTGTTCCGCAGGTCAGGAGGAAGGCTCTCGCCACGCACGCCCATGGCAGAGGTTCGCTCTGCACAGGGCACCCACGGGATGTGTCCCCATACTCCCCAACTAGCCATGGGCACAGCCTACCCAGCCTATCATCAATCCAGAGATAAGCATCAGTGCACACAGTGAGAATGGCTGAGCTCCCCCTCCAGTTAGACCAGACTGTAGCAAGGAAACAAAGCACATGGACAGGAACACTGGGGTGGTAGAGAGGACTCGCATGGCCCCTCACTAGGGTGACATGCAGATTCACAAAGCTTTTTCTTTTTTTTTGGTCGGTCATGGGGCTTGAACTCTGGGCCTGGGCGCTGTCCCTCAGCTCTTCAGCTCAAGGCGAGCGCTCTACCACTTGAGCTACAGCACCACTTCCGGTTTTCTAGTGGTTTATTGGAGATAGGAGTCTCACGGTCTTTCCTGCCCGGGCTGGCTTTGAACCGCGATCCTCAGATCTCAGCCTCTTGAGTAGCTAGGATTACAGGCGTGAGCCACTGGCGCCCGGCTCAGCTTTTTCTTTTTTAAGGGTTACTGGGTCTCTCAGGCTGAGAGAAGGTTTGTACACTGTAGGGATCAGGGTTAGCAAGGCTGGGAAGTACAGGAGAGAGACAGCTACACTTCCCTCAAAATCGACATGCACCTTTGCTTTCTAGCAACAATCCACTAAAGACTTCAATTTCCAGTCCTACTCTGGGGTTCTTCTCTTCTTCCGTGACTTAAGTTTACTTGTGTAGCTGGGGCTTGGGCTTACAGGTAGGAAGACATTCGAGGAAGATAAATTCAAGTCCATATATATGTTCAACCCAGTCCCAGTAAGAACCCTGAGTTTTTAGTGACTCTAGGAGGTGGGTTCAAGTTCTTGCGGGAAAGCAAAGTGGCACAAGGGACGTGGTAGCTAGAAGGAGGCAGTTGTCAGAGATGGAGTAAGGCAGCTGCAGAACAGGACACCTGGTAGAGCACTGGGAGGTGTCCTGGGCCTGAGCCAGGCTGCAGGGAATACTCCTGCTCTCTGTGGGAGAGAGCTAAGAGGGGCCAGCATGCATCAGTCCAGTGAACAGATACACCTGCCTACATCCTGTGTACTGTCTATCTGATCTGGCAGCAGAGAGCCGCCAGCTGGGAAGCCTGAGCAAGGGAGATGTGGGGACAGACGTGGGTCAGGCCTTGGGTTAGGGACCCGACTGTGGAAGAGGGCTCCTGTAGAAAGGGCAGGTGCAGAATCTGGCCGGCAAGGCCCGAGGGAGATGTCTCCTCTGGGAGACGCAGGCTCAGATTCTGGGTTTCAGGAGGTTCCCACCACACCCATGGCTGAGGAACAGTGCCCACACCTGGTCCGCACAGCGCCCTCTAGTGTTCACGCTGAGCATGCCGGGCGGGTGCCTGCCCCTAACCTTCGACAGGGCGTCTACCCCCACCGCCTCTCCCTCTGCCTCTGCCTTCCCCTCCCCTCTGCTAACTGCTCTATCACTGAGAGGACAGCACATGTTTCTGTGAGAGGGGTGTATGGGGAACCGCTCCCTGTACTAAAAGGAAAGCTATCTTTGGAGGCTGCCCTAGGAGAGGTCTTACCTGTGCCGGAGAAGAGGGGCCGGGCCAAGTCCTGTGGGTAATGGAACCCCGAGAGCATGCCTGGCGCTGGGGGCCTGCTGAACAGGTCCAGCTTTGCGCCCACCTCCAGCTTGGGAGGGTCCAGCTGCATCTGCTGAGGGACAGAGCATGGGCAGGGACCACCTGCGGAGGCCGGCCCACCTCGGGGGCCCTGGCCAGGGCTCACAGGGGGCTCAGGGGGCTGATGGTCGGAAGAAGAGAGCTCCAGCTGGTGCCAGGGGCTCACGCCTGCAACCCTAGCTACTCACTCTCAGGAGGCTGAGATCGGAGGATTGTGGTTTGAAGCCAGCCCTGGCAGAAAAGTCCCTGTGACTCTCTTAATCACTAAAAAACTGGAAATAGAGCTGTGGCTCAAGGTGGTAGAGCACTAGCCTTGAGCAAAAAGAGCTCAGGGACGGTGCCCAGGCCCTGAGTTCAAGCCTCACGACTGATGGCAAAGAAAAAAAAAAACGGAAAAAAAAGAACAGAAAGCTCAAATGTTACCATAAGAACAAAATGGAAAGCCAATAATGAGGTATTTCCCACTCCACTCTGTTCAAATGCAGGGCCTAGCACGTGCCAGGCCACTCTGCTTTCGTTACTTTTAAGTGGGGTCCCATGTTTATGCCCAGGCCTAGTTCCTGACAGGTCCTCCTACTTAGGCCCCCCACAGAGTGGGGATAATCGATGTGCACCACCATGCTCAGCCTTTTTGTTGAGATGGGGTGCCACGTCTTGCCTGGGCTGGTCTCAAACCACCATCCTCCTGATCTCTGCCTCCCAAACAGGATTACAGACATGAGCCAACATGCCTGCCCTTTTCTATTACCTGTGAAATGTTTTTTTTTTTTTTTATAACATAAGGATGTGCCTTATGTTTAGGACCTTAATTTGGAAGTACTGATCATGAAAAAGTCTACCTGAACTTAGATTTTGTAAAATTCAGTTGAAAATGTACATGCACAGGCCTGTTGTTCCAAATAATTGATTTTTTCAAGGACACAGTTGTGTTTTAAAAGCTGAATTTATTAAGATTAAGTAAAACGGAGACGACCGCTCTGGCAGCCGCACCGGCTGGTGCTGGCAGGTGCACCAGCTGTCCCCGGGGCTGGCTGCGAGGCCCTGCAGCTTGGGGAAGGCCGTGAGGAAGTGGGGGTCAGGCCGGAGGGCTGTGCAGCCCATTCCCCATCTCGGGAGATGGCCACGGCTACTCCCCCACTGCCATCACTAGAGACGTAGTCAGGCAATAACCCCAGCCCCCTGAGGGAGCCCTCCACCTTGCATATGCAGACAGTACTCTGTGACAAATCCCTTTCCACCGACTTTTCAAAGTGCACTTAGGACATACCATGCAGGAGATGCACCCAGAGGCTCCGAGAACCACAGGACCATCGTGAAAACAGGGCCGGGGGTCCCAACGGTCATGCTAGCCTCCTGGAAGGGGTCTCCCTACCCTCCACCCCACCCCAACTGCCTGCCTCAAACAAGACACCTGGGTAGACACGTGTGAACACACCAGCTCACTCCTGACCTCCACCACTCTGCGCAAGGCTCCAGCCAGGCTGCAGGCAGGCGGTCCCACGCGCTGCCTGCTATGGCCTCAGGATGCTGGCTGGAGCCTCCCAGATGGTCCCACTGGAGAGACCCTAGCGGTGTGCCCACCTGGCCTAGCCTCACCTTCATCTTCTGCTGGTGGTGGTAGATCTGCCAGGCGATCTGCACGTGCACGGCACACCACTTCCCTGGTTTCTACGACAGGACCGGGGTGTGCTCAGTGGGGCCAGCGCCTCTCCCAGCCCTTTCCTTCCCGAGTCCTGCCATCACAGCCACCCAAGGCCAACCAGGAGGGTCCAGTGTGATTTCCCCAGGTGAGCACACTTACCCTGACTGCTGTCCGGTATGGGTCGGACACCTGTGGTCGACAGAGAGAGCAGTGGTCACATCTAGGCTGTGCAGCAGGACAGGTGCAGGGGCGCTGGAGGGCTGCAGGGGGCAGGGGTGCATGACTGGGGACACCTACCCCAGGGGCTTTCTGTAGCAGAGTGTGAACTGCACTGGCCCGGCCTGTTACCTCGATGGGGTTTGAAGTCTGAGGAGGCAAGCAGAGAGGAAGAGGGGGTGAGTAACCCCTCTGCTGAGGGAGGAGTTAAGCGCCAGGCCAGGAGCCGGAGCTTCCTGGTTCCGGGCTGGGCCCAGGCCTTCCCGTGGGGTCCTCCATGCTGTGGCCTGGCCGCTCGCCCAGGGGGCCTCTGCCCAGGCAGATAAGGGGCTCCCGGTACTGATGCCATAGGGAGTATGGCCCATGTGAGGCTTAGTCCTCTTCCCTGGAGCCCTGGAGAGAGCTGAAGGGAGGCGGGCCCCCAGGCTGTGCGGGAGAGGCTGTGGCCCCTCCTGCCCAGCACCCTGGCTCTTCCGCTCCTTCCCGCCAGGGCCCGGCAATGGCACTGTGCCACCTGGCCGTCTTCTCAGGTACATGCTTCGGACCCTGCCCTGCTCAGAAACAGTGCAGCAGACTGTAGACAGGCTCCTGCCTGGCAGCCACACATCTGAGCTCCAGGATGGGCTGGTGCTGCGTCCCTAGCCCTCCTCCCACGTGAGCCCCGCCCTGGACCCCCAGCACCTGTACCTTGGGCTGAAAAGCACCCTGCAGGGACCCAAAGGGGCCAGAGTGTGCAAGCAGGGCAGGCAGCCCTGGGCCAGTGGGAGGGAAGGGCGGGAAGAGCTGCAAAAAAGAGAGAGCATTCTGGGCAGAGGGCTCCTGGCCCGTGGAGGCCTCCTGACCCCACCCCACACCCAGGAGGTGGCAGAGCCCAGGGGCAGCTTCCCCGCCCCCCAGCAGGGCCCAAGCACAGGGTTACTCACGTTGGAATGTCGGAAGTAGGGGTTGTCCAGCTTGGGTGAGAACTTATCAAACTGCAAGGGAAAAAAAGATGAGGTGAGGCTTCACGTACCTGCTGTCCACCCTCCGTGGGCCCCTCACCCACCCACTGGGCAGCAGCCTGCATGGGCGCTGTGCCTTCTAAAGTAGACAGCCTATGTCCAGCTGTCTCCAGGCTGGAGTACTGGCCCCTAGCTGTGAGCTATGCCCCGGGGTGGGGTGTCCTCCTCTCCACAGTCCCTACTGCCGGGTAGCCTTCAAGGCCCCAGGAGAGGGCAGCTGAGGTCACGGGCAGTGGAAGGCCTAAAGTGCTGGCTGGGAACAAGCTACAGGATGCACCCAGGCTGCCGACCGAGGATACGGCCCCTCACAGCAGCTGCTCAGAAGTGGGGGTGAACCCCTGGCACATGGGGGTGGTTCAAGCCCAGTTTGTGTGGCTTCCAGACTTGGTGTCCGGCTGCAGGTACATGCTGGGGACTCAGCAAGGGGGCAGCCGGCCCCACCTGTGGACACGGGCATCTGTCCAAGCACAGGACAGCTCCGATGGTCTGGCACCCCGGCTGGAGGGCCCCGGGGGGGGGGGGAGGGAGGGAGTCTGGACACAGACCCACGGGGGGGGGCGCCCCACCTCGCGTGTGCTCCCCGTGCCTGCGCGTGTGAGTCTGTGTGTGCCTGCTGCGGTCCCGCCCCGCCCCTGCTGGCACGTGGGCCTACGCACCGGCGGGGGTGCGGCCGGCGGCACCAGCGGCGTCGGGGGCAGCCCGGGGAAAGGGGCGAATGTGTGTTGGTGCTGGTGTGTGTGCTGGTGTGTGTGCTGGTGTGTGTGCTGGTGCTGGTGAAACTCGGCCCGCAGCAGAGCCCCCCCGCCCAGGGAGGCGCCAGGCCGCTCCGCACTCTGCACCAGAAACCGCGTGTTCAGCTCTTGCCTGAGCAGCTCGTGATCTACAAGAGAAAAAGAGAGAGAGACAGAGAGGCACGTTGGCCGCGGGCTCCCGGCGGGCGAGGCGGATAGTCACCTGGACTCGGCAGGCCAAGCCGTGGTGGCCGCTCCCTATGTGCGGGCCCAAGGGTGGAGGGAAGAGAGGAGCCTGTGACCAAGTACCAATCAGAATCCCCGAATGAGGCTGGCAATACATGATTGGCTGGTTGAATGAGATCAACAGGCTGGCATCTAGAGGCAAGAGAGAAGTTGGTGAGCCCCGCCCCTGGGTCCCTCTGCTTCCATGGAAGGGCTCTGGAGGGTTGGAGTGGACGCGCCCCGGAGTCCCTGTCACAGGCAGTCTCCCCAGGCTGATTCTCGGGGCTAAGGGAGAAATCCCTCGGGACTAGTCCTACACCCCAGCGGGCACCACCCTGGGGCACGGGGGGGGGGGACTAGGGGGGGGAGAGTCAGTCACAGGCGGGAGGGGGCGCAGAGCCCTGCAGGCCGCCCGACGGGAGGAGGGAGGGCCGCTGCACGGTGGAGGGCTGCCTGCTGCCGCCCCAAGAAGGACTGAGTGGGTAGCAGCTCAGACTAAGGGCCTCCCAGGGGCTCCGCTCCCTGCCCCAGGGGAGCGGATTCCTGGCTCTGACACCTACCGGCTGGGTGTCCTGGGATGACCAGGCTGCTGGTGGGAGGCGCTGGGGGTGGGGGCAGTGCTGGGGGGGCGGCGAACATGGCCGCTGCGTGGTGCTGGTGCTGCACCTGGGACCGGAGCGCCAGGTGTGAGGTAGAGAGGTGGGGGCGGGGCCCGAGCGGCGACAGTGACACGTGCTTGGCCAGGCCCGGGGGACCCCCACTGCCTGTGCTGCTCCTGCGGAGGGACACAGGGCTCAAGGTGACTGGCCGGCCCCGGTCCCGGGCCTCAGGCCTTCCCTCTCCCTCCATCACAGTGCCGCAGGCCTTTTCCCTGCCTGCCCCCACCCACGGGCACACCGCCTCTTCCCACCCAGGACCAGGCCCTCTCCCCACCTGAGGCTGTGCAAATGGAGGCCGCCGGGCACCACCTGGCCGGGACCGGAGAAGGCGCCCAGGGAGGGAGGCACGTGCGTTGGGAGGGAGCCCCGGGGCTGCGGGGCTATGGACTGGGGCTGCGGGCCGTGGAGGGCCACCGCGGGCGACTCCCTCTTCACCAGGGGGCCGGCCTGGGCGGTGGGCAGAGGCCCCAGGGGTGCCGCAGGCAGCAGGAAGGGGTCTGCGCTGAGCTCGCGGCTTCGCTCCAGGCCAGACACTTTGGGCGCTGCTCCCGCCTTGGCCTCAGACTCCTCACCCCTTGCTGGACCTGCAGAGGGAGGGCAGGGATGAGGCAGGTGTACTCTTGGGTTGGCCCCCTGAGTGCCCAAGCCCACCAATACTCCTGGCAGCCCACTGGGGTTCCTGTGGTCACACCGCCATCTTCCCCAGAAGCCTTGTGCTTTATGCAAGGATGCACAGCCAGGGCCTCCGGGGCGCTCTAGGCCCCACAGAATCGCAGGGTTTGTACAGCTGTAAACCCACATTACAGATACGACCAAGGTATGTCAGTGATTGGTACCTGCCTGCCCTCGGCTCATCTCCTTGGTTTCTAAGACCCTACCTCCTCTTTCTAGAAGCCTCCAGGTGGTTAAGAGAAGCTGCTCCCTTATGTTGTTCCTGCTCTCCTTTGCCCTGCCCATAGAAGACCCTCCTAAGTTTCCGGCTGCTCCATCTCTGCCTTCCTGCCAGACTGTAGAGCCAGAGACCAGGAGCTGGTCAGGGATGTACTCACCTCTGTCTGCTACTGGGGCAAAGAGCTTCTCGGAGCCCACTGATGCCTGGGAAGATAAAAGAGGTGGGGCTGGGGTGACCGATACCCACAACCCACGTTGTGGTGGCTGGACCCCAAGAGCCTCGTGCATGCTCCCCAAGGGAGAACAGGCTCAGGTCTGGGGCTGTGTATCTTCACCAAGGTGGCAGATGGGGTCTTCTCTGCTCAGAGCACCAATCTTCCTCAAGTGTGGAGACGTTTGGAGGGCACAGTCTGAGCTGAGAACGTCACTGCCCAGCGCGTGGCCCACCTCTGTGCCCGGGGCCTGAACCCTGGCAGGCTAGGGGCAGAAGAGGAAAAACACTGCCTGAGTCTCTCGCCTGACCAGGACACTGACATGGCAAGTTAGCAAGGGTCAAAGAGCCACCTGACAGGTCAAAGAGGTGCCCATCCACCCTGTGCCACGTTATTCTCTAACCTGGACCAGCTAAGGTCCAGGTGGGTCACATTCCCAGCACTGTACTGAGATGGCCTGGCATACAGGTATGCATGTTCTCAGGGGTGTGAACCTTACCACACTCCATAGGGCCTGCCATGACTGCTCTGCTCCATCTCTCTAGAGCACCCTCCATGAGGACCAGGCTCTGCTCTTCTCCATCTCTCTAGAGCACCCTCCATGAGGACCAGGCTCTGCTCTTCTCCATCTCTCTAGAGCACCCTCCATGAGGACCAGGCTCTGCTCTTCTCCATCTCTCTAGAGCACCCTCCATGAGGACCAGGCTCTTCTCCATCTCTCTAGAGAACCCTCCATGAGGACCAGGCTCTGCTCTGCTCCATCTCTCTAGAGCACCCTCCATGAGGACCAGGCTCTTCTCCATCTCTCTAGAGCACCCTCCATGAGGACCAGGCTCTGCTCTGCTCCATCTCTCTAGAGCACCCTCCATGAGGACCAGGCTCTCTCCATCTCTCTAGAGCACCCTCCATGAGGACCAGGCTCTGCTCTGCTCCATCTCTCTAGAGCACCCTCCATGAGGACCAGGCTCCGCTCTTCTCCATCTCTCTAGAGCACCCTCCATGAGGACCAGGCTCTGCTCTTCTCCATCTCTCTAGAGCACCCTCCATGAGGACCAGGCTCTGCTCTGCTCCATCTCTCTAGAGCACCCTCCATGAGGACCAGGCTCTGCTCTTCTCCATCTCTCTAGAGAACCCTCCATGAGGACCAGGCTCTGCTCTTCTCCATCTCTCTAGAGCACCCTCCATGAGGACCAGGCTCTGCTCTTCTCCATCTCTCTAGAGAACCCTCCATGAGGACCAGGCTCTGCTCTTCTCCATCTCTCTAGAGCACCCTCCATGAGGACCAGGCTCTGCTCTGCTCCATCTCTCTAGAGCACCCTCCATGAGGACCAGGCTCTGCTCTTCTCCATCTCTCTAGAGCACCCTCCATGAGGACCAGGCTCTGCTCTTCTCCATCTCTCTAGAGCACCCTCCATGAGGACCAGGCTCTTCTCCATCTCTCTAGAGCACCCTCCATGAGGACCAGGCTCTGCTCTGCTCCATCTCTCTAGAGCACCCTCCATGAGGACCAGGCTCTCTCCATCTCTCTAGAGCACCCTCCATGAGGACCAGGCTCTTCTCCATCTCTCTAGAGCACCCTCCATGAGGACCAGGCTCTGCTCTTCTCCATCTCTCTAGAGCACCCTCCATGAGGACCAGGCTCTGCTCTTCTCCATCTCTCTAGAGCACCCTCCATGAGGACCAGGCTCTGCTCTGCTCCATCTCTCTAGAGCACCCTCCATGAGGACCAGGCTCTGCTCTTCTCCATCTCTCTAGAGCACCCTCCATGAGGACCAGGCTCTGCTCTGCTCCATCTCTCTAGAGCACCCTCCATGAGGACCAGGCTCTGCTCTTCTCCATCTCTCTAGAGCACCCTCCATGAGGACCAGGCTCTGCTCTGCTCCATCTCTCTAGAGCACCCTCCATGAGGACCAGGCTCTGCTCTTCTCCATCTCTCTAGAGCACCCTCCATGAGGACCAGGCTCTGCTCTGCTCCATCTCTCTAGAGCACCCTCCATGAGGACCAGGCTCTCTCCATCTCTCTAGAGCACCCTCCATGAGGACCAGGCTCTGCTCTTCTCCATCTCTCTAGAGAACCCTCCATGAGGACCAGGCTCTGCTCTGCTCCATCTCTCTAGAGCACCCTCCATGAGGACCAGGCTCTGCTCTTCTCCATCTCTCTAGAGCACCCTCCATGAGGACCAGGCTCTGCTCTGCTCCATCTCTCTAGAGCACCCTCCATGAGGACCAGGCTCTGCTCTTCTCCATCTCTCTTGAGCACCCTCCATGAGGACCAGGCTCTGCTCTTCTCCATCTCTCTAGAGCACCCTCCATGAGGACCAGGCTCTTCTCCATCTCTCTAGAGAACCCTCCATGAGGACCAGGCTCTGCTCTGCTCCATCTCTCTAGAGCACCCTCCATGAGGACCAGGCTCTGCTCTTCTCCATCTCTCTAGAGGACGCCCCTCCCCACAGTTGGCAGAGTATCCACAGCAGTTTTGTGGCATGCAAAGGTGTGGAGGACCTGGAACTCTGGAGGGGTGGGCAGTTTTAGAGAATTAGCTAACTAAGAGTGGCCCTAATAATCTTTCTTCCTGCTAAACAGCTTCCTTGAGTTTTGGACTCAATGTGTCCCTGAAAACCTATGTTGAAACTCAGTCTCTAAAGTGATGGTTCAGAGAGGAGGTGGCGCCTAGGTGAACAGGTGAGTGCCCTTGAACGGAAGCCCAGCCGGCTGCTCTTGCTCTCTGTGGACCAGGAGGCGGTGCACGCAGGCATGCCTGGTGCTCAGCTTGGACTTCTCGCCAAGCAGGAGAGAACAGGGGCCCAGCCTGTGGGCATTTGACTATGGTAGCCTGGGTAGATCAAGTCAGAGTAAAACTCCACATGCCATATAATACACCTAGTAAAGCATACACACAATTCCTGCAAGTTGGGACACTCATGGAGCAGTGGTCCATCACGATAAACAGTAAGAACCTTTTCATCACTCCTCAAATAGACTCTAAACTAGGTACACACGCTTAAAAGGCAGAGACAAGATGGAGTTCAAGGCCGGCCTGGGCCACAAAGTAAGATTCTGACACACTCCCACACAGCCACACAGCCACACAGCCACACACACACACTTTCTAGATTTTACATTTGACCCTGTGATTCCCTTAGCCATAGTCCAGGACTGTCTCTGCCTTTCCTGTTGTCCTGTAGCCTATCTTCTTCCACTGAGTAGAAATTTCCAGGTCCACTCCACTGCTACATGCCTGCTAGACAGATCTCCAGGACAACACACAGTGCCTGTGGATAGATGTGCACATGGGTACATGCTTATAAGGCACATACGTAACAAAAGCACAATCATCTGCATGTGTACACGTGTGGGAACATGTGCAAACATGCGCTAATGTGTTTACATATATGGGAGTGCACGATTCTGTGTGCGTGTGTCCGTGTCAGTACAGGGAAGGGCTGGGGGAGGGAGTAGTCTACCTGGTAGAAGGGCAGCGGTGGGGCCTGAGAGCTCACCAGAGACAGAGCTCCCACTCTCATTGTATGAAGGAGGGCTGGGAAGGTGGCTCAGTGGCAGAGCGCTTGCCTTGCAAGCCAGAGGCCCTGGGTTCGATTCCTCAGCACCACATAAACAGAAAAAGCCGGAAATGGTGCTGTGGCTCAAGTGGTAGAGGGCTAGCCTTGAGCTGAAGAGCTGAGGGACAGCTCTTCAGGCCCAGAGTTCAGGTCCCCAAACCAACAACAACAACAACAACAACAAAACAGGAAGGAGAATGAATGCAGTTATTGTTTATAAAAGCAAAATACAGTAATAGCAAAAGTAGCCACCAGCCTCAGCAGGGATGCCGGTCACTGGGGTAGACAGCTCAGCTTGGGTCTGGAGGCTGGGAAGGAGGACACTGCAGGGGCCTTTGCACCGCCTCTGCTGCACTCCAGCTGGCCTCACCCAGACAGTGTTGGAATCCACAAGTGACCAGCCCTATGTGGACAGTTTTCCACAAATCCTCGGAGGGGCCTGGCACAGGGCTACCCTGTAGCTAGGCCAGAGCACAAGCGTCCAGGGAGCGAGGATGGACAACATGCTAAGGCCCACAGTGGGCCCTGATCCCCATGACCGGGAAGAGCTATGCACACACGATAGGGGTGAGCCCCAACAAGAGCCAACGCCCCAGGAAAAGAGGGCGAGGGGCCATGTGAGGCGTTCCCAGCACTCCAGGGAGTGAAGGGCATCCAGAGCGGGCTGGATAGCAAATTACAGCCCGGAAAAGCAACAAAAAGGTGTGGTGCAAAGACAAGAACAGAAGGAGGATCCAGATGAGACCTGGGGCAGCGAGTGTGCTGGTACACACTGAAGCTGAGTCAGGCGATGTTGAGGATGGGGTGGGGGGTGGGGCAGGGAACAGGAACGAGGATGAAAATGGCCCATGTAGTTTAATCTCATATATAAGAACAAAAGGACAAAGCCAGGTCTTGGTAGCTCATGCCTGTACTCCTTGCTACTCAGGACACTGAAGTCTGAGGACCATGGTTTGAAGCCACCGGGGCAGGGAAATCCATGAGACTCTTATTTCCAATAAACTAGAGCACCAGCCTGACGCACAAAGAGGCTCAGGGACAGCATCCAGGCCCTGAGTTCAAGCTCCAGGACAGGCTAAATACATACATGAAGGAAACCTGCTGAAATAGTTTTTAAGAAGGGGGAAAGTATTCACAATAGCCAAGATATGGAAACAGCACATATATATGAGTGGATCCAAAAACTGAGGTACCTATATACAATGGAATTTTACACAGCCATTAGAAAGAATAAAATAGGGGGCTGGGAAGGTGGCTCAGTGGTAGAGTGCTTGCCTTGCATGCATGAGGCCCTGGGTTCGATTCCTCAGCACCACATAAACAAAAAAAGCTGGAAGTGGCGCTGTGGCTCAAGTGGTAGAGCGCTAGCCTTGAGCTGAGGAGAGTTCAAACCCCATGACCGACCAAAAAAACAAAGGAAAGAATAAAGTAA